ATGATACCAGTCTCATCCTCTAGCCATAAATCCTTCTATTTCACAAAGCGCACACATATTCTGGACAAGAGTAATTACTGACCAGTGCATGCAATTTAAAAAAAAATGCCCTGCTAAAATGGGGCTTTTATCTGGGATTACCGTGTATTCTTGCTTTCTTTGTGACTATTTTTCCATGTGGGTTAGCGACTGTGTATTTGACAAAAAAGGCAGTTTGGGTATATCAATTTTATATCAGCAAAGACGTAACAGAAAAGGTTGGTGGTGATGATAAAAGTATTTGAGCAGGTGACAGGTGAAGTAGTAGTCTTTCTAATACAATGGTAGAAAGGATACACAAATATCTTTTGGATATATAGAATGTATGAAGATGAAGGTGATTATTGAACGTAAACTATAAAAAATAACTAAGATTATAAACAGTGCATGTGTGTGTTTATCCTCAGGTGGCCTGCAGGGCAGTCCTGATCTGGCTCTGCAAAATGGATCTGGACCAGCCGGTAAGTGTCTTTCTGGACACGTCCTCTACATGTAAAGCAGTATTTGCAACGGCTCTTTATAATCCCTTGGGAGCAGCTACCTGTTTCTACTGCTTGTAATGAGTTTAAACAAATTGATTTCCTTTGCTCTATTTTAATTTCAGTTATGAAAAAGTGGTAAAAAATATTCATTCATTAGCAAGTAAAAAGCAAAGAATCGAGGAAAGACTGCTAAAATTAACATGTTTCTTTTCTGACTAATGTCCTGGTAATTACCTCATGACCCCTCCAGTTTATTTTGCATCTTGGCCCCAACCCCTGGGCTGCACTGATCTAAAAGGTCTGCTTTGTGAATTTGTCATGCTTCAGTCCAACACTTGGATAGCTGGTACGGAGAGCTGCAAAGCTCTCACAGAACACCCTGTGGTGTTCTGTGAGAGCTTTGTCAAGGTGTTGGATGCTGGGATGATGATGAATGTCTGTTGGTGGTGAGTGACACTGTGGAGGCCATTGGGGAGATCTGTGTTCTTAATGTTAGCTGTATTTGTCCTTACTTTTCAATCTTAAAAGCTTGCCGACTACCCCCCTGTTTTCTTCATGCTACCCCTCCCAGAAACACTGCCATTATGTAATGTCAAGAGATAGAAAAGATCAAATATTTATGATTATCTCTTGTATAATGTATAGCCGTACTTTCTTGCTCTGAGCTTGGTGGTGGACAGGTTGATTTAATGGATGTAGTACTTCCCTCTATAACACCCTTCTCCTTTCTCTAGCAAATTCCAGTTCTGTAAATATTTTTAAAATTTGTGGTATATCTGCGATGCTTTTGACTAAAAGGAAAATGTCTTTTGCAAAATTCCCATTAAAAAGTATGTTGATTGCACATACAGCACTACTCATTCTGTCAGCTCTTAAGCAAAAATTGGAATTTCCTGACCGTCAAATGTCCTCAGATTTCCACATCTCTGTGTTCAGTGAACGGATTCGTGGGTTCAGCTGGAGGAGGCACTTTGGGAAAGATCCTACCATCAAAATCTCCTCCTCCTCTTCCACCTCATGGGAACAGCTTGGTCCCTGCCAGCCGCAAGACAGACCTCCGAGTGGTCATCCCTCAGTCCAAAGGAATGATGCAAACACTGGTAAGTGTGTGCTTGGTTTTTATATTTAGGGCCTCAACAGAAGTCCTCATAAAGGTTATTAACACTGAGAAATATCTATATTTTAAATTGACATTAAAACCGTGTGCACTGGTTTGGGGACACTAGAGAACTAAAAAAAAGCCAGCATATGGATAGCCACCACTTCCTCAAAAACTTATAAAGTGATTCTAGACTGTTGTTTGTGTGAGGATAGAAATAATGCAACACACTGGCAAGAACATCTTCACCTCAAGAAAAACTATAAAAACATGGAATTTTAGTGCCTCAGTTTTATGAAGAAACAGTACAATGCATAATGTTTTCCAAGCCTGAGGGATGCTGGACTCAGACATGACCAGGATAAATAAATGATGCAGACAACCACAGAGAGGGTCAGAACCTTTTCAAAACAATTGGTTTGACACCATTTGGAACAGATAGATTGTGGTTTTGCAGATGGAATGATCATTACTTTAAAGAAAAAAAGGAATACTGGCAAAAAGAAATCAATGTGTGGCTAATTATGAAAAGAAATGACTTTTTAGTCTGAGTTGTCAGTGCCCTACCCGGAATTCCTCCTGATGGTCCCTCTCATTGGACTCAGTCACCGTTCAGTGGTCCACTTCTCATTATAAACTTACAGAGTCTGGTTTGAATTCAAGATGCATCATCCAGACACATTTGAATGGATACTTCGTCATAAAAATCTTTGTGACAGTGCATGTGAATTAATACACTGTTGAGTCTAAATGGCAGCTATTAACACTGAAAGGATCCTCTATTTCATAGCCTCCGTCGGGGGATTTCAGAAATGATTTGGGTAGACTGTGAAACTAAAACAGTAAAGGTTGATGTCGCCACTGATAATTCCAAGTGTCTTATGTATTATGTTTTGAGGATTTTTGGGAACTCGGTAGTCTGCTAGTATGACTACAAGAATTGGTTCAGTGTTACTTGTGCTGTTGCTTCACACAGACTGAACACTCCAATGATCTTTTACCAGATTGAATTATAAAGTAAAATTATGCCTTAAAGTTTTGTAAGACAACAGGCTGCTCATACAAACAGCCTAATGATGTTTCTAGAAAACTGTCAAGTCACATGCTTTGTGGACAGGGAGTGTACATTCTCTAAACTCAGTTCCTCAAGAGCTCAAAAGCAGCAAAAATGTCTTGTTGTGTTCTAGTCACATGTCAAAATGTGGCTCAAATAAGGCTTTAAAAATGACACAGTAAAAGAAGATCTGGTGATTAGAGACATTACATTTTTTGGTAAATTGCTTGGTAAGCTGACTCCCAGGACTATAGAAGGACTGTGTTTCTCTTTCTTCAGATTCTGCATTCAGCAGCTATGCTGGCACTCTGAAGTTATTGATTTGCCCTTAACTCTCCTACTGTTGCCCTTCCCTCCCACACAATGCTCAAACACGATGTAACGATTAGGAAACAATGGAAACTGAGACTTTATACTTTTTTCTTTTTTCATGGTGAACAGGCGGCTCCATGACTCTGCTGGCTGTGGCATCCAAGGTTTTACACTGTGCTGCGATGCATTTGTGAAAGGACAGGAGAGGAGTTTCTATTTTCTGTTGCTATGAACATTACTGTCTGGTGTTTCAGTGGAAGAAAGTCTTTACTTAGATGTAAACATAATATAATCGTTCCATGTATATACATGTGATAGGGGAATGTTGTGGCTTTTTGAAATGGGTTACAAATTCAAAGGACATTATGACACATGGGGCCAGTGATTAATATCAATGAAATGCTGTGTGGCTACATTTCTGGTGAAGAAGTGATCAATAAATGAATCGACACCATTTCAATCCCACACGTGTCAATCAACACTGCTTCTGTTAATTATAATCATTCTGTTCTTTCTGAAGCGACTATTGGTGATTACTGAGTGACAATGTATTGTCATCATGTTTGCAGAAGCAGCTAGCATGGCCTTTCTTAGTCTTCTCTGAGTGTGTTATAGAGGTAGACAGAGTGTGAAGCTGTTACTTGGAACAAAACTGAACCATTCTCCTGCTCATGTCTCCCCTTTGTTTAAACCAACAGAAGAAGATGGTAGCTGCTCAGATGATAGCATGTATGTTTTTCTGCTTTTCATTCATGCAGTGTAGGATGTTGTGGTGTGATCAGATAACAACTTCTTTGTGTGATCACTTTGAAACTGCCTCTCACTTCCTCTTTTATGCTTGTGCCCACGTTTATTTTAAGTGTGTGCAGTAATGCTTTGTTTAATGTGTGTGGTAAGAACAGTTTCTTCAAATTCAACAAAGCATTATGCAGAAAGATCTGAGCAGGTCTGCCTTTCTTTACATGGTGTCTGTGTCAGTGTTGACCTCGTTACCATGTTTCTACTTAATAATGTGGTGCAGTATTTGCTGCTGATAGTGACAGGGATGCCACAGACAACACAAGGAAATTGTGCAGTTCTCCAGTCAATCACATTGGGTCAGCTTAGTGAACATGTTAGTTTCAGACATGCATCAGTTTGTTAACCCACAGTTTGTATGTCTGTGTCACTGAGCAGTGAATGAGTGACCTCGTTCAAGGTGACATCATTGCTGACATTATCAGGCTGGAACACCAGCAGACCAGACAGGAACAAAACAAAACTTCTAAGTGCTGTGTGACATGAGTTAAAGAGCCACTAGCTTTGATCTTTGCCAGCCAGATGCAAACTCTGCTGAATCAGCCTTGTTTCTAGCTTAATCTAGACATTGACTAATTAAGAATGAATTATTGATATTCAGAGTTTGATTGTATAAGTGTTGAAAAACTCAATCAAGTAAATTATCACTGAGGTCGCAGCAGTAGACTTGATTACAAATCCTTAAGGAGACTGTTACCAGTTTAAATAAGTAACACACAATTGAACCGCCTATGCCATAGACGGTTCAATTGTATCACTTGATGGTATCAATCAGTTTATCAAAGGAAAGCTGTTTTATAAAATAGACAATCTGTGTCTAGAATTACTGAGTGAATACTCTCAGGTTATTGTCTTGAAATTAATTTACATGGTTTTTGAACGTAACTGCAGCCATTGTAGGCAGGTGGATTTCTTGTGAACAACTTTTTTCTGAGAAGAATACCAAACCCCATTATGTCCCCATTGCCTCTGTGAAAATTTGGGTTATTCTAGGAAGTAAGTAAGTAAAGGATGAGTAAATGTGGCAGATTGATTTTGAAAAAAAACTGAAAGCAATTGATGGTTGCTTTTTCTTAAAAGGGAAGGTTTGTCCTGCTGTAGTCTGTGAGAAAATGAATTTATACTGACACCATGTGGTTGAAACAGAGCATCACAGGACCAGTGATACTGAACAGGCTAACTGTTATTTCAGGACAGACATACAGCTTGAAGACTTTGTGACTGTGCATGTTTCTTTTCTTTTTGTCTGATTTTCAGAGTAACCAAAGACTGAGCAGCAGTCAGTCCAGTCAGCCTCTATCCACACCGGTGGTCTCCATCACCACGCCCAGTCTGCCTCACCAGAGTCTGGTCTACTCCACCACTGGCTCATCCTACAACAACGGTATGAAAAAACCTATTACTGGCTTGCAGGTTGCTCAGAATGGAACATCACAGAAGGGGGAAATTATATGTGAAGGCGGATTATGACACCTCTCAGCTCCTCAGTATATTGGAAGAGTAACTGTACATTTATGTAAAACGTCATGTGAGCAAGGTTACCATTATTTTGGTCATGTCCACCATTGTACAAAATCAAGACAATGGCTCACACTCTGTTTTTGAATATCTTTACTGTGATAACATGTTTTGCTGAAGCTTAATTTTGAGTGAATTAAAACTGTTTGCATGGAGATGAAAGCACAAAACACACAGAAAACACCTGTGTACATGTGGACAAAGCTTGAATGTCATTCCCCTTCTCACTTTCCCTACATTTCCTGTCTCTCTCGATTGTTACTACCTAATAAAGGTAAAATGCTACAAAATAATGCTTCTTGTTATGGCCTAGCTGTCTAGGGACGGTTGGGAGTAACAAAGAACAACATGTTGTTGGTAGACTAAAGTAATTAATTGCCTAGTGACAAACTAAACAAAGCAATGGTGATAATACAAAGGAAACAGGGCTGGTGAATGTTGCTAAATCAAAGAACCAAATAAAACCTAATTAAGGCTAACAGAGTTATAGAAACTAGCTAAACAGAAAAACAACTGAACTCCTTCGCCAAACTCCAACACAATAGCAACACCTCCGACCAACATAAACCAAACAAACAAGTGCCTCAAAACACTCGAGACACAAGCAACTCCTAAACGAGTTATGCAGCTGCTAACAGAAGTGGCCTGTGTTAACCTTGTTAAGCAGCCGCAGGAGCTTCAGAAAACTGAAAACACAACGACACGAGAAGCAACATGGCAAACTGCTCACACTAAATCACAGCCACTTGTACTGTGAGGTTAGTTGTAGGTTTGTACTGCCCAGGTGTAATGATGGCTGCAGGTGGATTGGATGAAGGTGGAGGGAGCTGGGTTGTGGACCCTTCAGACAGATTGGGAGGCGGGGAGAACAAGGGCTGTTGAACAGGTGTGGAGCTCCAGGGCCTGATGTCTGCCAGGTGGTGTGGGGCACGGCCTTTACCCAGCTGTAATCAGCTTCAGTCTCCACAAGCCATCTCCTCACACAGAGGCTGCACAAAGTCCGTCACATCACGAGACGGCACAAACACCACTTCTAAAAAGAGAAGAAGAAATCAGATAGGGTTAAATACTTTCAAGTTCCACATTTACAGTATACAACAAAACTGTGAAACACCCCTGCGCAACATCGCAAAAATGTGAAATGTATCATTTTACAGTCATTTAAGTTGGAGTGCAGGGTATCTGACATCTGCAACAAAAGTCAGCAATTTCCATTTACACCAAATGCAACAACAAGGTGATGGAAGAACTTGTGAACACCAATGTATTCTAGATTTTGGTCTGAGTTGTGTCTAATGCAACATGGCTACCATGGTAACAAATTCCATCAACAAGTAAGAAACCAGGTTGTGAGATGTCATGTAAATTTGAAAGTACAAAAGCATCCATAGGCAGTGAATATGAAAGGAAACGCAGTTGCAGCAGAGGTTAGGAGGTAAAGGAAGAGGGTATGTTCTGGCCACTTGGGTGTTCAAAAAGTCAACTGTTGCTCAACAACATGTCACTAATCTGCAACATGAAACTTTGCCAAAGAGTGTATATTCTCAGCAAATTCTCTGGTCAGATGAAACCAAAATGAATTAGTCTGGATCAGATGGGGTCCAGCATGTTTGGAATGTTTCTGACCACAGCTAGCACAGTGACTGCGTAATGGCGTCATGGAAGTGGAAGGTGTAGAGGAGAGATGACATTCATAGCTGCACGATGAATGCGAGTTTGTTTCACAAAAAGATGACTGCTGGTGTCAAGATGCTCGGCAGGAGAAGAATGATTTGGAGTGAAGATGATTTTTTTTTTTTGTTATTTTTTGGCCTTTGTGCCTTTATTTGATAGCGAGGTGAGAGAGACACAGGAAAGTGAGGGGGGAGAAGAATGGGGGGAGGACGTGTGGGAAAGGGCCATGAGCGGGATTCAAACTCATGACCTCCACATCGGGACGGTAGCCTTATACATGAGATGCCAGCTCAACCAGGTGAGCTATAGTGGCGCCCGAGTGAAGATGATTTTTAATGTACTGCAACACCAACACACTTCTTATAGAGAGGAAAAGTAAAAAAAAAAAAATGTGAAAAGCTCCCTGACTTGAAACAGAACACCTTTGGAGTATTTTAATGTGGAAGAAAGGACAACACAGCTACTCCAACAAAGAGCAATTGAAAAGAATCATTTGTCAAGGATGGCAATGGAATCTGCCATGTATTTTCAGTGTAACCTGTCAAAACTCTTTGTTTTTATCTATACATAGGATCAAGTACACTACAATTAACTTTAAAGTTTGTTTTCACGAACTTCACAGCTTTGCTCATGGGAGTGTCAGTGTTTCCCAAAAGATTTTTAGACCTATACCGAGGTTGCATCAAGGAAGGCTGACATTGATTAAATGTATCTGAGTTCCGTCACGCAACATGTTGTCTCTCTCTTTGCCAGATTACTCCCTGAGCAGTGCAGAGCTGTCGAGTTTCAGCTCCGCCGCTGGTCCCTCTCTGGGCTCCCTGACACCGTGGGAGCAACACCAGCTGAGCTCCATGGGGTACGTACCTGCGGCTTATAGACAAGTGCGGCCTGTATATGTACAAAATTTGTTTTCTTTTTAAAGTTAGTGGGTGCGGCTTATATTCCGTTGCGCTCAATATTCTGGCAATTACGGTAATACATACAGAACAGGAAGAAAGCCAGAGGGAGCTGTTAGGAATCTGTTTTTTAAGGTGTGACTTGGTAAAGAAGAGAGTGTCTAATGACTTAGGTTATAAACTGGACATGACTGCAACTTAACACAGGTTGAGTGCTGGAGGAGGTTTTCTGATCCTTCACTTAGTTGAAATTGCAAGCACTTTATAGAGAGCTTGCTGAGCAGGCACAGTCAATCAGTCACATGTATTTGTATACAGTTTAGTGTGATTCAAAGTACAATACAGGTAGGACTGTAGAGAACCAAGGACATTTTTGTTCGACTGAAATCATACGTACTGTTTAACCGATTGAAAAATAAATTTTTTTTTAGAGATTTTAGAATAAACGCGATGTGTTCCCTGCTCACTGTTCTACTTTGTTCTCGTGCAGCAGAGTTATGAATCATCTGCAACTGATTTATATCTTTTTTTGGGAGCAGGACTTAGTCTCTCTGTGTTGAAAGAAATTACTTTTGTTACATTTTTGACATGATGATGATAGAAAGTAGATTTGGTGACGTACGCCACAGGTGTTTTTTTTTCTTCGAGCCTGTAACTAGTTAGGGGACGAGGGTAGATGCTGATACATAACAAAACAACAGGAACTCAAACAGAGAAGGGTTTTACAGTCAGGAATTTTCATAAAACAGCTATTTTACTTTCATTTTGCTAACATGAACAAACCACACCAAACCAAACTAGTCTGGAGCACTTATAGCCCTGAGTGAATTTAAGTGTTAAAGGGTGTGTTCTAATTTTTTTGAGTGCAACTTTGCATTTGTAAAAGGAAGAACATGTTATCTCCTGTTTGAAAGGGTACACTGCACTTGAAATTCCTGCCTTCAAATGAAAATGCTAGGTATTACTATCAAAATGTAGCCAAAGTAAATAAAGAAGAGTGTTTTACTGGTACATATTACAATATTAGATTATTATTGGCTATGCAGTAAGGCATAACTAGATTGTAGTTAATTGCTGTGCAGCTAAATTTACTTAAATTATGCACATGGTTGGTATACTCTCTCATGGTGAATTCATGGTTTCTGCATAACCAGTGTGTCACTTTAGAAGCCAGCTGCAGATGCACACACAGTTCTGTTTATGCTACAATAGGTCCATGCTGATCTGCACAGCTGGTCGCATAGCCCCTCATATTGAACACAGAAATACACACAGGATATAGCAGCTACTTACAGATTGGGCTGTAGCAAAGTGTTAATGTAAATATCCCAGAGGTACAGTAGACACAGCACAGGATTTCTGGGGAACTTCCTACTGTTTGGGCTCCATCAGAGGACTGGGGACCCTCACAGACTGTGGTAGATGACGACATTTGCAGACCTTAAATGCTTGCAGACATGCAGATGCAGAAAGCATAAAAATGACGCAAATTTAGAAGCTTACCAAATGCTTTATCTGTAAAATCTAAATACATACTTGTAACTCCAGATGTCTGAATAAAATGGAGAGAAAAGTACAATGTTTTCCTCTGAGCTGTAGCTAAACAGAAGTAGAAAATAGCATAAAATGGAAATACTCAAGTAAAACACAGTTACCTTAGCTGTGTAGTTGAGTACAGCACCTGAGTAAGTGTGATTAGCTACCAGCCACAATTTTCTGAATGAGCAAACTAGAGAAAAGATGTCTCTTACTGTCTGATCATCTAGTTACACCAGCAGGTGGCACTTTCAGCTCACAGTTACAGCCTTAACCAAGCCTCGTCTTCTGCCTGTAGGTCAGGAAGCTCCAATCTCTCCATCAACACCAACCACAACATCAACATCAAAGCCGAGCCGATCTCCCCACCCCGCGACCACCTCAACCCGTCCGGATACATCACCCATCCTCATGTTCCTCCTCATCCTCATGCCTCTGCCTCCTCATCCACCCGAGGAGAGATGGGAAGGTCCCCTGCAGACAGCGTCAGCTCCTCCTGCAGCTCCCACGAGGGCGGCAGCGACCAGGAGGAGCACCAACGGCCGGACTTCCACGCGCTCCCCGTCAGTCAGTCAGAGAGCAGAGAGAGTCCGACGGTCAAACGAATGCGAATGGACAGCTGGGTGACATAGAGCCCAGGGTTGCATTATGAGATGCCGTCGGGGCAAATGCAGGAAGGACACTGTTATGCAAAACAAATGTTTGTGTTACTGATGTGTTCTGTTAGCTTTTCTTGAAAAATTATCTTGTTCTTTATTTGATTTTTGAGACGGCTTGAGTCTGAACATTGTGGGTCTGATAAACATGTCACACGATCACAAAATCATGTCGTACTTAAAAAAATCCCACTTTTTAAACACAATGAAAGCATCACAGACTTATAAATGCGGGTCCAACTGCAGTACAATCTGTTATTTACATATCCTGTGGGGTACCAGACATGCAGAAGCATGACTGTGAGCTCATGATCTGGGCAGTAAAGCAGAGCTGCGACTAGATGTCTCCCACTGAGTGTCAGCCAATTCATTCTGAACTTCTCAGGGTTTGAAGCAAATAAATGAGTCAAACATAAAAGCAATACTCCCTCCACATCATCATCTCTGTTACTCCTCTTTATAAAAACACTTATTTATATCGGCCAAAGCAGTATACTGTTTTTATGTTGTTTTAGTGTGTTTTTATATTGTACAAAGAATAATACAATATTTTATTCTGATTTTAAACTGAAAACCATGGACTCTTGTTCTGTATGTACTACCAAAATATATCTTTATTGTTTTGTATATAGTATCTTTAATATATATCACTTTTGGTGTAACTATATAGTCTAGTCAATCTGTTTTATCTGCTTGGGAAAATTATGAAACCTCGACCATGTTTTACAAAAATATATTTTTGTGGATGATTGCCATATTTGCAGAGCACTATCCTGTCTAGCCTCATCAAGTGTCTGCTGGATAAATCTGTTTTGTGAAGTACACCAGGCTACCCTCTCTCTCAGACAATATTTTTTTTCTTTTACAAATGGGGTACTTTGTACACTACATCAAGACAAAGCTGCTGACAAGAAAAAAAAAACAAGCTGTCTGAGATATGCACATGATGGCATCTGCAGGCCTAAATCGAACCAAACAGATAAAATGAGGTGAGAATACATGAGATCATACGGGACTAGAAAAAATCCGCTTTATTAAGTGGGGGGAAATTGTCTGTATCACAGGTCACCACATGTCCAAAATCAAACACAGTGGGCATCCTGGGAGCTCAGTGGTTAGGTCACATGCCACATGAGTGCACATGCTGTTGGCAGCAGGGTCCTGGCTTCCCTGCAGACCTGACCTTTACCGCATGTTATTTACCTGTCTATTGCTGCTGCTCCTATCAAAATAAAGGCAAAAAAATTCTTTAAAAAGAAAACAGTCATAGGAACACATGAGCATGATTGTGTGCATGGATGCTTGGCAGTATTGTGTCTCACAGCAGTGTCTATTTACAGTATACAGCAGAAGTGAGTACATTCCTGAGCAATATCACCTCAAGGTCAAACATTTCAAAATTATATCACCTCTTAATAACTGCATCATTTCTACGTTGAACATTAACGCTGAGGATATCAAATTCTGTCAGTTATTTTCTGCCATTCTTCCAGCTATTTTTTTCTTCCTTTTTGTCCTTTACACTGTCTGACCTGTCACACAAACTCCAATTTCCCCTGATAACTCCTTTGCTAAATCTGAGGGTTTTTTTCAGAGTTAGATTGTTCTAGTACTGTACAGTTCATGGTGTCGTTTCAGGAGGATGTGCACTGCAGCTCTCACTAGTAGCACTGTGGCTCGTTCTGCACTTCCTGATTACTGTTGCAACTGTGTTTCCACTGATCTTCCTCTATCCTTTGCCAGCTTTGTGATGAATCAGATCTAAATGGTTCATACGTTCAAAACTGTGAAAGTTCTGATGTTAACAGGTCATTTTATAGCCATGTTCATATAAATAGGATGATTGAGAGTGATAGCTGTACTTAATGTGGTTTCAGTGATCACAGGTTTCTAACTTGTGTGTCATTAATCGCAGGTTCATTCGCTTTTGTATAATTTTGTTTCTATATATTTTTACTAAGGTCTTTCCAAAGTATTTGTTTTTGATTGTTCATAAGAGGAAATAATCTACTGTTCAACTTATACTGTCTATTTGTAGGATTCCCTCTGTTTGGGTGTTTGACATTTTAATGAAGCTGGTGAACTACATACAAAAACAGAATAGTGCAGTAAGTCCTTCTATGATGAATAGGTACACACCTAAACTGGTTTTCTCCTTATGGGTTTGATGCACTGAACATAAAGGTTTAAAGTTGTACATATAAAACCACAAGTCTCAAAATATCACCAATGAAGATGGTTGGTGTAAATATTGATTTAATTGCACTGAATGAATCCATGAATTTATGGACCCTATGAAATTTAGTGCTAAGACAAATGAACTTCACAGGGGTCCTACTGTGAGAGTTTGGAATTGATTAAGCAGCTGTGTGACTGAGCATCAGACCATTAAAGCTGAGAAACTAGAATGTGTAGGTGAGTACCATGTAGCACGTGTGGTGAAGAGTGCAAAACCTGCAAAAGAATAACCACAGTGACTGCATGAATGAAAAACATCAAACCATAAATGTAAGCTAAAAGAAAGCGGCAAAGACAGCTGAGGGTAAGTTTTGAACACATTCCCAGTGCAGCTTTTTACAGCATAAGGAACCATCTTTTGGGTTCATAAACAAACACAACATGTAAATGAGTATCATCAGAATACACTAAAAATTATTCTGACTTTCAGGAGTATCAAAGGTGTCTGGAATCTAGGTGTACCAGATTGTTTAGGTGTCTATGGGCAGAAAATGCAGTACAACTGCAAGAAGCTGTGTTGCTTATGCAACAGTGATGCAAGAAAGAAAAATTGAAATACAGACAAAATAATACAGCTGAGAGGCTGCTAGACTGTGCAAATACATAAAAGGCTGCTGCTGATTGCATGTGCTGTTTCAAATTGTTGATAGATCACCTACAATAGCCTGCTGCAAACAGGAACAAAGTAGTTCACTGAATGAACTGAGCAGGCCAGTTGCTGTCAGTAAAAAGCAGACCTGGCTTACAACCACAGGTGTTCATGGTGGAGAACTGGAACCCATCTAGAGGTAGCATATGAATGAAGGGGAGGAAATTGAAAATTTGTAGTAGAACGTTGTTTGACATTGAACGTACATGTAACATAACCACTGATGCCGACTATCTTAATGTTACTAATTGTTATTTGGGTGAAACAGTATTAACTTATAGTCATTTGTCAGTCAAAGATAAAAATGGTTACATAAGCCGTACGGTTTGATACCGTCTGAAGTCAGTTATTCATTTGGAATTCTGATCAGTGATTTAAAAAAAAACAATTGTTAATGGTAAAATATAAATTGTTTGGATAATTTTCCCAGTGAACTACATTAGTTGTCTTTAGTAAAAATGAACAGCTCTTAAATGTTCTGTCTGTATTTAATATATAATAATGCATCTTAGTGAGTATAACAACACACAGTAGCTGATGACAGTAATCATGGGAAGTGTACATGCCAGGAAGGGCAGGACAGCAGAATTATACTAGTTCAGATGGAAAGAGGCCGAGGCCTCAGTTACTCAGTACACTGAGATGGAGAATTTGGATTAAAAGTACCGAGGTTAATGGGAATTATGAGCGCAAACAGCTGTTTGAGGAAAGGATTAGGTTTATGTGAGCTACAAAAGACTGCTTTAGAAATTAGTGGAGCAAATGAAAAGAAGCATTTTTAGATAGTGGCGGACATACGATCAGTAGGATAACTAACTTGTGATTGAGCCTAACTTGAACATATCGAGGCCAAAGAAGATTTGATTTTTGTAGCTTTAGTAACTTTAAGTAAAGGTGCACCGAAATTCTGCCCTCAGTTGTAGGGGACAAACCAAAATAAATATAGTCGAAATCTTTGTGCGATTGATTTTTTTTTTTTAACTTACAGGAAGGGAAGGGAGTTAAATGCCTCAAAACGCAACACAGAGGGTTAATTTACTAAGAGGTTTGTCAAACAAAGCTCTTTGCGGGAATGCCAGTGATGTAATAATTCAGCTCAGGCAAGTTAGCAGAGTAAGGACCTACCGGATAATTGGGTTTTTACTTTTTCAAAATAAAACAGTTGAAAGCCCTCAATAGCCCAAGTGTTTCATAAACACTGCTGTATTATTAGACTAATTATATTTGCTGACTGACAGGCTATGGCTACTTGAAAGGTCGGATGTCTTCAAAACACCCTGCAGGTTTTTTTCACTTTCAAGATTGTTTAAGAGGTGTTGCAAAACAGACAGTGCATTTATTTTACATATAACCCCTATCTGTAAATCATCCTAATTTACATAGTTTCCAGACATAAGCACGAATATTAGACATATCCAACACATACAGCCTAAACATCAGAAACAATACTATTATATATAATCACTAAATGTGATGCGTGATTACACTCTTAACTACGAACATAAACATCTTTATTCAGTTATTTGTTCACAAGAAACCTTTAAGTCTGCCAAAGACATACCTGTGCTTTCACCATAAATACAAAGTTATTCATATTTGCACGTTCTGAATGTTTGATTCAGAAAAACTGCCGCAGGTTAGTAACTGGCACACCGGCCCGGATGTGTTTTATTTTGAAAGCTTTATCTGCGCTTCGTTGGCCCGCCCTTGACAGCCGCTGAGTGGAGCAGAGGGAGGAGGAAGTCTGTCGGAGCCGCGACCGTCGCTCGCTGTTCGGACCTGTTGCTGTTCGGTTTTCCTCCCGCAGTGTTCAGCATCCATGAGGTGAAGGGCAAACACTGAGGTTCCAGCAGCGGAAAAGGTTGGTGTCAGTTTGTTTCTGTCTGTTGTGATTGACAAGCAGAAAGTCGTACCTGCGGGGGTGTTCGAGGTGGGGCTGTCCAGGTGAGCCGTCCTCTTGTCGTAAACACGTGACCTGGCGGACAGGTGAAGAAGATCCAGTTGAAGTTCGCTGCTTAGTGGGATTCTTAGCAGTTTTCCTTTCAGATATCTGGCAATGTAATGTTCGGGGGTTTTGTCCATTTTACACACCTTGTGAAACACACTTTTAGAAAGTTCTTGTGTCTACAAGAGTAGGTCATGAGTTCAGCACTGACATGAAACAGGGCTAGCTTCAGTGATGTCCTGTCTAACCCTGGTCACCAGCAGGTTGTCATGCTGTACACAGTTGTTGCTCAACGTGTGCTGGGTAAACACAGTAAGGAAACGCTGTCATTGTGACTTCAAATGTGTTTACAACATGGATGAATCTGGGTGAAATGACAGCTTACAGGTATAGGATGTTTACCAGACCCACACACACCTAGGGTCATGTTTGTGTTGACACGCAAACTCAGGAAGCTGGAACTGGTAAATGGAAACCTACTAAAACGGCAGTTTGTTATATAGTGTACAAGCTATTTTATGCCATTTTTGCATGTTTTCTGCAGTGAGAGTCTTGCCTCATGTCAGATTGCATGAACCACAAACTGTGAAATAGTTTCAGGAAATAGCTTCATGTCTTGTTTTGACAAGACAGAGCAGCAATGCAGTGACTCAACACAACCCACCGGCTCAAGGGGGAAAAAAAAAAAAGCACATAAAAGGCTCTCAAAAGCCCTGATCTCTGCAACCTGCAGCCATACTGTTATGTGCTTTCTTCTAAAACACATCTGTTAACATGAGAACAATTTGTACTGTAGGCATTAAAAAAAAAAATAACAGCACTCTATCCCATCAATTGTATGGTATCTGCTGTCAGAAGAATTCAGATAATTTCCAAATTGGACAGGAACTTATGTGTGTCTCTGTCACTGGGAGGAGGAAGTCATTGCTTGTTCATCATTCAGATCTCTACAATTCAGAGGACCCAGTCAGCAAAAGTGCTTTGATGTATAACAACGGATTAACCCAGTATCATTTTAAAACGCTGTCATCCGTTACGTGCTCTAGCAGGATTTTTATCAAATCGCTGTCTTTGTGTTTTTTTCAAATAGTGGTGCCCTCTTTTAGGAATGAAAGTATAAATACAGTAGATATAGTTGTGCAGGGCTTTCTTATAGCCTCTGGTACATGTGTCAGCTTGCTCCAGCCCTTTTAATGACAGAGACTGGAATCGCATTAATCAGATAACCTTACTTGTACATACTAGTAGTTTTCTTTCCATGAGAATTACACCCTTCATTCCTTAAAATGGCTTAGATGTAACACGTGACTGTTGCTTTCTCTAGACTGCTTAGATCTACAAAGTCTCCGCCATTGTAAAACTATTCTACACTACAAAATGGCAAGGTGTAGTATTGGAGTAACTCAGTATACATGTTTAAACCGGAAAGTGATTCTGAAGGAGAATAATGATAGAGGAATTCCCGCCCTGCAAGTTGACAGGATTGGTTCCTGAGGTTTGTTACATAAGAAAACTCAGAAGTCTAAATCTGTTATTAAGACATCAGTCTTTGGTACACTGCAGTTTCAAGGTGAAATATTCAGCATATAAAAACAGCATATGAACATGTTGACAAGCTAAAATCAGATTCTCTTTGCCATGTTCCTCTTTAACAACAGCATTAATCCGCAGGTAGCAGCATCTCGTACTACTGGTCTGTTAAACATACTGACGTATAATGTTGGTCATTGTGTTCCTTAAAGGCGAGGCCTACTGAATTGGAAAAGTGAGTCATGACTCATTGGTTGCAGTAACTATTCAGGCCCCAGGATCAGGTGTGGGCTTAAGTGACCCCTGGAAATTAATCAATGCCGAGCCAGTGATCAGCTGATGCTGAAGCTTATAGAATTGGCCCAGTCAATGAATTAGTCTGTCACTATTTACAATACCTACAAAAGGTATTCACACCCCTGTAAGTTTCATCCTTTTGTTGCTTTTATACATGAAATCAATTTTGTTGGCATTGCAGTAGTAGCAAAACATGGTTAACGACATGTTGTACGTCAGACCTCCTTCTGCCTGTTACTAACACACTATGAGTTATATTGCAAAAACTCTTTGCTCTTTCATGAAAGTAGAAAATGAATGCAGTGTGGCACAGAGGCAACCTGCAGCATTGCTGTGGTGTTCGTGAAGCCCAGGTTGCTTCGTTAGTGGCCTTCAGCTCATCTTCCTCTTGACAATACACCATATGGGGTCCCGGGGGGGTTCAGCTCAGGTGAGTTGGCGGACCAGTCAAGCACAGTAATGTCATGGTCAGCAAACCATTTGGTACTAGTTTTGGCACTGTGTCCTGCTGGAAAAGGAAATCTGCATCTCCATAAATTTGTCAGCCCACTGAAGCATAAAGTGCTCGAGTATTTCATGGTGGGTGGTTGTGTTGACTATGGACTTTAGAAAACACGGTGGACCAACACCAGCAGATGACATGGCACCACAAATCGTCACAGACTATGGAAACTTCACACTGGACTTCAAACACTTTGGATTTTGTGGCTCTTTAGTTTTCCTCCAGATCAGGACTTTGGACCACTGAGCAACAGTCCAGTTGTTTCCTCCTTGGCCTAGGTTAGATCTCCAGATGTTGTCTCTGGTTAAATGTCCTGATATTAGGAATGTGACAGTTGTAGCTCCTGAATACATCTGTGCTTGGTGGCTCTTGATACACCGACACCAGCTTCCTTGTGAAGATCTCCTACGTTCTTTAATTTAATTTTCTTGATAGTCCTCTCGGGCCGCATGGTAGCTCGGTGGTTAGCACCATCACCTCGCAGTGAGAAGATCCCCGGTTCGCGTAACGGTGAGAACACCCGGGATCTTTCTGCGTGGAGTTTACATGTTCTCCCCATGCAGCGTGGGTTTTCTCTGGGTTCTCCGGCTTCCTCCCACAGACCAAAAACATGTTGAGGTTAATTGGTGACTCTAAATTGTCCGTAGGTGTGAATGTGAGTGTGCTTGGTTGTCTCTCTGTGTAGCCCTGTGATAGACTGGTGATCTGTCCAGGTGAACTTGCCTTCGCCCTAAGTCAGCTGGGATAGACCCCAACCCCCCATGACCCAAGTGAGGATTAGGCAGTGTATAGATGATGGATGGATGGATAATCCTCTCAAGGCTGTGGTCATCCCTGTTGCTTGTGCTCCTTTTCCTGACACCCTTTTCCCTTCCAGTCAACTTTATAATATGCTTTAATAGATCAAATCTTTTCAGCAATGACCTCTTGTGGTTCCTTGTGGAGGGTGTTGATGATCATCTTCATGACAACTTTCTGGTCAACAGTCTTCCCATGGCTGTGGTTGCATTCACTGAGCTAGACCAAGAGATACACAGTATTTATACTGTTTGAAAAGTAATTTATTTCAACTCAAAATAAAATATTCAAATAATTTGAAATATTGGAATTTTAGTTTTCGTGAGCCATAAGCCCTGTTGATCAAAATTAAAACCCTACATATAATAAGTCTAGAATATTTTACATTTTCACTTTCTTAAGTAACTAATGAAAAATGAAAAAAAAAACGTTTTACAAAGTTCTTATTTTGAGATCCACTGGTACATCTTTTTCAAATTGTAGCCTACTTATTTGTGGTAACACATTCCAAGATGGATATTTTTGCAGTTATTGTATTATATCATGACCTATAAAGCATTGCATCAGTATGTAGATCATTGACAGTGAGCTGTCTACATTGCAGTGGTCAGCAACAGAAGGTGTCTGTCTTGATATTTGTTAATCCATGTACACACTTGTTTTCCAAGTGTATTTATTTTTGTTATCAACAGTCTTCTAAATCTTTTAATGTAAGTACATTTCATTTATATATGTTACATCTTCGTATGTCCCTGTTGTTCTTTTTTCCTATATACACCCTTACAATTTTGATAGTCAACAAAAGCCATCCATCCATCATCACTGTAGGCTCACAGTCAAGTTTATTCAGTTCTGGGATCTTTTACTTCGCCGCTGTTGGATGCTTGTTTATTGTGGTCTAAGAGACTAATCTTGTTTTGCAGGCAATGTCACTGGCTGTCTGTTTACATCCAAGAGTTAGATAAGTGACTGAAATTGAGGTTAGTGATACGGGACAAGGTTGTCTGCAGGATGGATGGTTGGCCTCAGCATCTCCTTGAACTGGACTGGATTTGCACTACAGCTTCACATGCACACTGACTGTGCTAGCAGGAGGGATGTACTGTAAATGCACAGTTTAGCTCTAAGGAGTCTTATACTTTTAAGTCAAAGTGCAGCTCTCCTCACTAAGAAAGTGTAATTGAGGCTGATCTGATCAACTGTGTCCAGGTTAGTCTGATTCACCAGATGCAGACTGTGAGTGCCAGCCTCCCATTGGGCATTCATTTTAGGTAGCTTTGTTTTCAAAATCCTCTTCACTTTGGAAAGGACAACGTCAACGCAGCAACCTGCCACACTGACAATTTCAAATTTTGTTGAGGATTTGGATGGGGCATTAAGACAACCCTAATACTTGTTTCAGTGGATTATCTATTTTAAGGACAGTACTTGTCTTTCTATGTGCAAATATTCCACTAAAACAATTCCACTTGCTATTTTGCAATTTTGAGAGACCATTGAAACCACATCCTTTACTTAACGCAATCAGTTTAAAGAAATTCAAAAAAGCCAGAGCTTTTTGTTTTGTTTTGTTTTGTTTTGTTTTAATTGTCGCAAATACACCACCGTCGCATGTTTCCACCTTCACAGCAGAGTCCTGCACTGGGTCGGGTACTCACGACTACTACGGTAAACTACAGATAACTATCTTGCTCAGTATCTACTCTTTGGGGGGTTAATACGACGTTAATTACTCGCGAGCACTAAGGTAAACTACAGATAACTATCGTGCTCAGTCTCTTCTCTCTGG